AATGATTGCTACTCTTGGTCCGATCCCTACGAACTCCAACATCTTCAAGGGCACGTCATTCATGCTTACTTGCATACCCTTAGAGAAACTGGAAAGGTATCTTTTACTTATTCATTTGGCACATGAACAGAGGGATCTTAATTCTAGTAAGAATTAATGCTAGACACTCAAGGAATTAATATAATAAATAAAGATATACAGTGACTGCCAAAAGATCAGTGAGTAATTTTATTATATTGCTCAGATGAAGAATCTTTAAAATAAAGATCTAGCATACAAGTATTTAATGTTCTTAATATACAATGTTCTTAATGTTCCATCTAACATGATACTCTTTTTATCTTTGCAGGTAAGGTTGAATAAAAATATATTCAGAATTCAGACAGAAATGTTTGACTCGATGAAATATAAATAAATGGCAAAATCAATTTTTTTATGGAAGCCATGACCATTTTTTTTAAATAGAATTCTATGGTTTTTTTACATAATATGATTTTTTAAATTATTCTGCAGATAAAAGTATTAAGGTAGAGATATTATCAATATTTTACGACTTAAACTATCGATTTTTGACATCTCCACCTCAATACTTTTAAATGCAGAATAATTAAAATAACATTAAGATAAAACGAGTAGTCACATTAGATGGAGTATTCTAATATTTAAATATGTTATTAAATTGATTAAAAGAATTAATTTATAATTAATTTATTAACTTATAATTTAAATTAAAAACAAATTGACAAAAATGATCATAAAATTATAATGTTGGCCGAAAACTTTCGGCAGCCACTATAATAATATAAAATATTAAAAAATGAACAAAATACAGTTACCTTTCTTAAGACACAAAGCATTATTCGTATTTTTTTTGTTTAAATTAAGAATTCTATTCATTAATCCATTAACTCATTCTGCATCATTTCAGGTATCAGGATACGAAGACCAACGCTGGGTCGAACACAGAAACGGAAGCCACCGAAACGGATCTCGAAACAGACTACGAGGACGATTGGGTGAAGCGACATTTCGTACGCGAAAGACTTCACGAGCAGATCATAGCAGGCGGCGGGAAGATCTATGAGGATTTCGAGAAGATACCAGAGAACGAGTACGAGAACACAATACTCATCACGAACGTGCCAAATACTACAGCAAAGAATATATTATGTCTATCGGCCGGCATCAAAATATGCAATCACGAATATATCATCAGATGCTGTTCAGAGGTAGCGCGAGATCTCTTATTCTACATTAATTCTTACATGTTTAATGTAAAAAAAGTATGGATTCTCTCTCTCTCTCTCTCTCTCTCAAAACAGATTATTATTTCTTTATTCTTTACTCATAATTACTATTCTATTTTCTTAATCGAAAAAAGGAAGATTATAGACTTAAGATGGTTTTTTAATAATTTGAGTTATCATAGAAATGTCTAATTTTTTAATATAATTGAAGTTGAAGTACCGAAATTGACGTGTGCAAAATTCTACGGCAGATTAACAACAATGACGAGAGAAAAAAAAATTGAAAATGTAACCTTTTACATATAACTTAGCGACAAATAAGGTTCGCAGGCGCTTCTTTGATTTCTTCTTCTTTTATTATGACTCTTGCCTCCAATAGATCACGGAAATCAATACGGCCAGAGCAAAAAACGTGTAAAAAAACGGAAGAGTGAGATGCAATGCCCGCCCGGATAAGGAGCGCCTGAGTCTACGTCGTTACGGACGTGTATCAGGACGAACGGATGGATCGTATAAAACCGCGGAACAGCTATATGTTTCTCAAGGCTCAGTTTGAGTCGGCAACACTTTCAAAAATATACAAAATAAAAGCATCCGAGTCGAGACGTCTGCCGCGAACGAATGATTCTTCAGAACCTCTTCTTTAACTAACTGTACATAAATCGTACCATAGATTTTTCTCAAAAACGAGATTATAATAATTAAAAAAAATTATGATTTTAATGGTCACAAAAAATAATAGGTCAACGGCCATTCTGGAAAGATATTTACGTCCATAAACTTGCATATAAATTTAATCTCGAAAAATAAACATAAACATCTCATCTTATTTTCATTCGATAAAGCTGCAGTTCTTGATTTACTATCATGTTTCATATTATTTCATTAAGATATACATATAGTTTTAATATTTTATCCAAATTAGATATTTGTAATTTTGGGTGAGTCCTAGGGAGGCACCTCAAATTTTACTTTACTAAAGTACCAAATATAACCAAAACTACAAATCTTAGGCAGTGTTGTTCTAATAAATTTAGATAACATTATTTAGTATTAAAGTAAATTTTATTTAAAAAGTTTGTTGGATATATTTTATATCTTTATTATATACATCTTCCTTTAACATAATCTTGTTTCAGTGTAGTAGTTTCTTTTACAATATTTTCGCTGTATGTCATACCATGATTTCGTTTATTATTGTATTGATTAAATTGCCAACAATTGCGTCACGAATAACAGTCTCATATTTTATCGTATGTTTTTAGAAAAGGGCCATAAACAAGGCGGAAGTTGCTCTTCCAAACGGCTGGAGTTTGCAGAGAAAAGCTTACGTAGAAGGGCATGATGCATATACAAAGAAACCGTTGTCAGAAATCGTCGTAATAATTCCTAGTCTGGCATCCATTAATTTGCCACAGTTTGCCACATTCTGGCGACAAGTCTGCGAACACGCGGGTGCAGTAGTTATAATCGCGGAGAACCCAGGTATTTTATTTCGTCATCAAAAACTATAAGTTCCTTTAAAGCAAATTTACTATTTAGTTGCTACCGATATACGTATAATATTAAGAGAAAAATATACATGATTTATTAAATGTGTAGAAATAAAATTATTTCACACGCGTATGTTATCTCAAATTACGATTAATAGAAAAACTTATGAAATTTTTTTTTCCTTTTTTCCAGATGCCATGGAGACGGATTTTGCCGATACTGTAGTCGTGTCTAACTGGAAGTGTCCATCGTGGGCACAGAAGAAGGCGATTCAACTAAATATTCCAATCTTGTCCACCACGTGGGTGGTTCAGTGTATAATCGAGGGTAAACTCTGCCCACAAAACCATCCACGTTACAGATATACTTGTATACCAAATTAGGAGTTTTCGTTAATTAGAAAGCTGTTGTTTTTTACAATCGTGAGTAAGTCACCTATGATCAATGTGGCTACTAGAATATATTTTCTTTTGTTTTCCAAGTTTTTTCCATTTTTTTTTCCGGCCTTCTATATATTGCAATAAGAGATGAAAGAATAACTTTACAATCGTAAATCTTAATATTTTTCAAATTCCTTCTTTTTATAATATTTTTAATAGTTTCTGATACGTTAAAACGAACGCGATGTATTGTCTACACTCTGTATTTTCTCTAGACATTTCCAAGTTATTCTTTCTATCTTATATTTGTACGTTTGATATGACTGATCGATATAATTCATGCATTTTTATATGGCAATTCATCCTCATACGAGGATACGTGTAATGCTTTACACTTTTGTAAGATTTTGTATAAAAGTAGACGTGTGCGCGGAAACCGCAGATCAGTTTTATACATGTGAATCCTCGTTGCGTGTAAAGCATCTTAAGAAACCGTATCTTTACAATAATTCAAGCATAATCGTGCCGCGTCAAATTGCAATTAGACAAGAAACGCGAGATTGATTTTAATCAATGCAGCAGATATTCTCAAGGAAACTATGTGGGGAACTGTTAATGAATTCTTACTCCGCTTTCTATCAATTTTTTATAAACGGGCATGTTTACATGTCTATTAGATCTATCTTTAACGACATCAATGTTCGTTTCTATCAATGTATTAATTTTAATCTTGATTCAATTTGCTCTTCATCCCTTTCTAGTCCTAAGAATTAGAAAAAGATGAAGAGTTCAACCGAGATCAAAATTAATTTACATTGATAGAAACAGGCATAAGACTCCTGTTTTCTCACGCGTGGAATTATATGAGAGATCAGAAACGAGGTGAATTTATTTCTTACAATGTAAATTATCAAATTCAAGATAAATTAACTTTTTCACACTCACTCGATAGTATATTCATTCTCTCTAAAAATATAAGACATTTCTACATAGAAATATAAAGAAAAAAATGATATATAAGAACAAATTTTCGATTTCCAATTTCTGATCTGTCATAATTCGTTATATCTGCAGCGAGAGAAAACAGAAATCTTAAGAGAATATTTTTATGAAAGATAAAAATTACCTTGATGGACACGATGTTAGAAACGTAATTGGCAAAACTCCAAGTTTTATTAAAGTAAATTACCGAGGTTTTTTGTACGTGCACATGTGCGAAGATGCGTTGTATATAAGTAAATATATAGTATACAAATTTTATTATATATATTATATATATTATGTATATGTACAGGGAATTGACAAAGTAATATGTGAATACCAGAGAAATACAACACAACCTCTTCTAATTGCTTAAAAGATATTAGAGGAGGAAATCTCACTCTGCTCTTCAAAACTACAAATGACTTATAATATTAATATTAATATTAATATTAATATAATATTAATATTTAAATAATTACATGCCAAAAAAGATGTTGAAGTTTTAAAGAACAGAAAACAATTTTGGAAAAAAGAGTGACAAGTAAATTTCCTCCTTCAATATTATTTATATAAGCAATTGAAAGAAGTTGTTCTAAAGTAGTATTACATTTCATTGATAATTGTTCAAGCATTGTATGATTCTTTCTATTCCAACAAAAATGGAAGATGGAAGATGGAAAATAATATAAAATAAGTCATATTTCCTAGGTATTCATATCATTTTGTTTATTCCCCGCATAGTAAGTTATAGCTATTATGTACAATAATGTCCGGGGATAAAATATAGCAACATATTTTTTGGCAACGTTTCTCTCTTTCTCTTTCTTTCTACCAACCTTTTAACGTCTCTTCTTTCATTTTTACGAAAGTAACAATTGATACGATCCGTAAAATTCAATAATTTAATAACAGAAATATATTTTATGGATTGTATCAAACATCTCTTGTAAATGTACATCGCCTTTCCTCACTCTCGTATCTTAAGAGCAACTCGGAGAGATCCATCGACTCTTATGGATTGTACCAATCAAGGAACAATAGCGAGAATGATATCACTAGAAGGAAGAAGAGGATCCACACCCTGAGGCCAGCGTTTCGCTGGATCGCTTGGCGAATCTGCTCGTTCGCTTCCTTCACGTTCTCCGTCGATCCGACCACCGTCGTCATCAGCCTATCCAGGTCTTTGTCTTGGTCCAGAACCTTCTCCGTGAAGATCTCTTGAAGCTCAGCGATGTGCACTACCTTACTCTCGATCTGCTTCACTTCCTCCGTCATGGTGTTCAGCTCGTTATACAGCTGTTCATTCTCCGACTCGAACATCTGTATGTCTTCCGCTGACAATTCCTCCTCGTACGTCATCGTATTGACGTCGCCGTTGATCTCCTGGATCTTCATCGGGCTGGACTCGTTCGAGCCGTTCTTGGTATCATCGTCCATGGGATCGACCGAGTTCAGAGCTGATCTTTTCGTCACCGTCGCCGACGGCTGGTCTGCCTGCAACCTGGAGATCCTTCGCATCTCCATAGCCTTCTTCACGCGCATCGCCTTCTGCTCCGAATATATCTTGCAGACATTCTTCAGATAGTCCTCTATAAGCAGCAGCATGATCTCGCGATGCTCGATGTTCTGCTGGGTGATCTCCGTCGACGCAGCGATCTCTCGCTTCAAGTCTTTAACCAGCTGCGAACAGGTGCTCATTATCCGCTGTGCACCCAGGTCGATCTCGTCGCGCTCCGCATCCGTCATGTGCGGCGCCGCGGACAGATAGTTGGAGAAGTTCAGGTAGGCCTTGCGATTCTCCAGCAGGAACTCGCGCAGCTTGGAGATCTGCACGACCACCGCGTGCGCTTTCACGCAGAAGGTGCTCTTGCTCCTGGTCCTCCGCGGTTGGCTCTCTGCTGCCGGTGTACCGAGGTCCCTGTTCCGCAGATTCACCGCCTTCACGCTAGCCTTGAACAACGAACTCACATCCATCTCTGACTCCCTTGGTCTCCCAGGAGGCGACTCGTCGAGGTTCCCGTTGAAGTCCTTCCGATGTGAATAGCAACAGTCTGTAAACAATCAGTATTTGAGATGTTGATAATAAAAGTTACTTCTATTGAAATTGTCACGTTAATAGGAAAGTGACACGTTTCATAATTAGCAATCCTACTGAAAAAAATCACGTATTTTTTTTCTCCTATTTCTATTATTCAATTCTTTAATTAAAATTCGATAATTATAAAATCACATGATGAATGAATTATTTCTAATATTATGTAATTTTCAAATTACACCATATAAAAAAATTACGTATTGATTTGGAACAATTCGTTACGTAATTTACATGTTTTAAAAAACAAGTTAAAAGAAAAAGGCCAGAAATTTTACTTATAAAATTGATAGAAAAGTAAAAAAATGTCTTAATAAATTAATTATGAAATTTAATAACCGCCGGCTAACAACAACAAACGTTTCGATCACGATCATTATCAATGTTTACAAAACATGTCTAAACGGTAAAAAAACATAAAATAAAGTCGATCGAAAATTGAAAATTTTCCGCATTGAATAACTATATAATTGTGGGTATCAATAAATTAAGAAGGATCTTCGTCTTGTTAGTTAAACTTACTGTTAGTTAAACAGTAACATACAAAAAATACATACATTAGAATTTGTCAAAAAAATAAAAACTTATACTATGGACACTCGATGGCAAATGATACTTCGCAATGTCATCTAACTATTGGTATCAATAATTAAAAAAATCTTCGTCTTAATAAAATTGTACAGTAAAAGAATGTCGATGTATATTATATATTGATATTCAGAACGAAATATAATGCATTACAGCTATAAATATAATAATGTAAGATTACAAGAATAACAGAAAAATATAATAAGACAATACAATAATGATATAAGTGAAAATTATAAGTAAAAATGTACAATGTAAATCTATCTATTCAATTAAAATAATTAAATATTCGTTAAAATTAAATAAGAAAAATACCTTTCATAATTGTGTTCAGTCCAAAAAATTAAATAATATGAAAAAAGTACAATAGATGAAAGAAAGATCGATGTCTCTTATCTTCGATGTTGTTAGACAAATTAAATTTAAAATGACTTTCAAAGAAGGAAAATAAAGTTGACGTTAGAAAATAGTGAGAAATGAGATTAAAAAGGGGGGATAGGTAGAAGGAATATAGGAAGGGGGATGTATAGAGAGGAAAGAAAGATTATTATAAGGGAGAAAGGAATTGTATGAACTGTGAGTAGGATTTTGGCAATATTTTTACATGTTTTAATTACATGATTTCATTATGTAACGTTGTGACATGATTTTTTTTCAGTAGGGAATCTTTTAATAAAAGATTTAAAAAATTCTTTCTAAATCTTTGCATAACTTCACTTTCTTTTTACATGTTATATGTTCAATTACAATAGCTCTTCTTGAAGCTGAAGTAATAAATTGTCTTTTTCTATTTTCAATTATATTATAGTCTTTAAAACTGTGTCATGAGTTTTCAAAATTCCAATATTGCAATTATTTATATAAGATTATCTGAATTTCATCTCTGATCAAAGTTATGGTATTTTTTCATATAAATTATATGTTAATAAATATATTGTCCAAAAATAATAATTATTCAAGAAGCATAAAAGTCAACACAAGATATTAGTGTGCAATAGTCTATTTATTCTCAGTATATAACGTTAATATAACCCAGCAGCAAAATGTCTGCAGTTTTCTAACAGACTGTCGGCAGGTTTGAGCAGAAAATGACGGCAGTCTGCTGCCATCAACTGCATTCGCATAAGACTTGTGTTCTGTTCACATAGCCTGTTGACATAATATGAAGGCAAATTGTCAGCAAAAACGACGCAGATCCTGCTCTGACACGTTAAATATCAACAAAATCTGCTGGGTTTCTCAACAATCTGCTATCAAATTGTGTCAAAGCAGGATCTGTATCATTTCTACTGACATTCTAGTGCTAGGGAATGTCGATAGGATTTGCTTGGTTTCTGTAGACAATATACTATCAGATTGCACTACAAATTCGCTCTGTTTTTTTTTTCAGTCTGTCATTTACTTCTATTTGCAGATTCTGTTACGTTTTTTCTAGCAGTCTGTTTTGTCAACAGTATTATGTACATCTAATTTTGTTATTTTGTTGGCATAGTGTGTAATAGACATTTAAAAAAATCTGCTTTCTACAAACTTGGCTAATCTGGGATAAGGATAACTTCCAAACATTTCGACCTCGGATTAAGTCATCTTCAGTATCAGAATAAAAATTGTAAAATATCTATCTTTAGTCTTATATTATTTAATGTTACATAAATTTTACATATACTTGTATGATGTGGTCGTATCTTGTAGTCTTATTTTTCAGTACTGTTTAGAAAATGTATTGTTTTTTCACAAAAATATATTAGCTTTAGGATCGATTTCTATCGATTTCTTTTCATTGGCTCAAAATGGTAATTTTTTTAATTGTCACTTTTCTATTAACACAGTGAAATGTCTAAGATGAAATTAAAACTGAAATTTCTTCGTGACTCACCGTACTTTTTCCCTGTCAGCAACTCATTTATTATGTTTATGAATGTGCCGATTATATTAAATATCGTGATGATCGTGGTATCATTTGTAATTATATAACACGGGATGTGCCCACGTTTCCTTTCAAAGTAAATTAATAAAATAATAAACGGATATAATCGTCAGTTTTGTAAACACCTGTCACGTTGGACACGCATCGAGTCGTCAAGAGCAATTTGGAGCAATTTGCGGTGAGGTTAGGTACAGGTACAAACGTGCACTTGCTTTATATTATATGTGCGAAAAACAATGCAACTTTGAGCAAGATAAAAAAATGCATGCGTCTTCCTTTCGAAACTTGTAAAAGAAAAGATAATCTCTTTTTTTTTTGCATTTTTTAGAAATAAGAAATTTTTTTTAGAATTTTCTATATATGTGTAAATTTTGAAAGACATTCTTCAAGCTTTTTAAGAGTTCTCATTTTATAATTTCTGAAAACATCTTAAATTTTTTTTAGATTTTGTAAGATTTTATCAAAATTGTAGAATGTGAACCCTTAGAACACCTTAGAATATTTTAGAATTTATATATAAAGAATTCTTGTATAAGAAATCTGAAAAATTTTTTAAAGTTAAAAATTATTCAGAAATTCTGAAAATATAAAAATTTAAAAAATTATATTAAAAATTCAAAGAAAAATATTTTTATATCATCATTCTGATAAACATTTTTCCTAGATTTTTAATATAATTTTTCTGAATTTTTATGCAATTTCAAATCAAAAAAGAAAAAAAGAAAAAAAATTTTATCAAATTTCAGTAAAAATTCTATAAATTTCTGTAAAGATAATATTTTACAGAATTTTTGAATAGCTTTTAATTTTTTAAGAAATTTTTCAGATTTTTTGTTCCATATTATTATATACAATTATAAAAGGAAAATTATGCTTTTCTTGTGATAATCTTGCTATACATAAAGCTTAACAATATTAAGATATAAATGCTATAATTATGAGATTAATGAAATATATAATAATACCTTCATTATTAATTGTATTATTTTTTTATTAGACTAATTTAGAATTTTTACATTAAAGTACACGCGAATCATCAAGCATTATCGGCTGGTTGGAGATCAGCTAAGAAAGCATTATACTGATCCATAATGGTCGATTCTTCAGATGTATTGCTCTTATCATCATATTGCGAACCGACAGCCCATAGAGTCTCCAAGTCGTAATGTTCTCTAGCAGAGCCAGATAAAATATGCAGAGCGATATTTCCTGCAATACAAACAATGCACAATTTTGTAAATTGCTCTAATAAATGCGAAATTATTTTATAGTTATTAATGTTATCTATGTACTTTAATTATTTATAATAAGTAGTAAATTTGTGGAGAGTTTATAATACTTAACATATAATGATCATATAAAATGATACGTAGACTGTCTTTGAATATTTTTCAACATTTTGATGAGCAATCTAGAAACAAGATGAAAATAATTATATTACATATTGTGTAAATACATAATATATTATATAATTATGATTTTCTTGCATTTTTTATCCCATTTCTAGGTTATTTTTACATTTTAACAAAATGTTGAAAAGTGATTAAAGATATTTGTGTAAATTTATACAAATAATATATAATTATATACTTGTATATAATTATATAATATATAATATATATAATTTTATTATTCATTGACTAGAAACTTTTGGCAACCATTGTATATATGATAATTGTAAGCTATTAAAACATAAAATATAATTTCCTAATTCAAAGAATATATTACCTAAATCCAAGGCCATCCAATCCTTTGACTTCTCCCCCTCGATTTTAGGTATCAATTCGTTTTGATATCTTTTCAGTTTGTAAACCTTGCGTATAAAAGTGGCCAAAGCATTCATGTGCTTTTGTGAATTTGCAGTCACAACAATGATATAGTCCACATAAGCGTATTCCTTGGGAACGGAAGCGACAAAGATGTTCTTGGCCTTATCTCTTTCCAATAACTCAACAAGTTGATCGATGTCGAATACTCCAGTAACACCATCTAACATATACACAATTTTGATCGTTACTCTACAACCATCATTTAATTCTTTAATAATTTCATGTCATTTCATTTATTTATTAATTAAATTCATTTCATTTATTAATTAAAAACAATATTTATTATATATAATATTCATATATAATATTATATATTTTATTAATATAAATTATATATACTTAAGTATATTTTAATTTCCTAAATATTTATTTTTGTACAAATGTAACAAATATAATTATATTAAATTTGTAACAAAGTTTAAATAATTTCATATCTTTGTTAAATAAAAATCAATTTGTTACATATAATAATTATATGCTATACACTTTCTTAATATAAATTACTCTGGTGAAAATTTTTCTCATAATTTTTATATGAATTGAAAAAAAAAGTTTTATATGAATTGGAACATTTTTCAGAATACTCAGAAATATTCGGAAAATTTACATCTCTCAGAATTTTTCATACAAGTGAATTCTGAAAGTTCTTATCTCATAATTTTTAAAAAGTATCTTTAAATTGTTTAGGTTTTATAACATTTCATCAGAAATTATACTTACAAAAAATCTGAAAAATCTTATGATATTTTATAATTAACATATATGAAAAATTCTGAGAAAAAAGTGTAGGTTTTCTAAGAAATGTCCCAATTCTCATAAAAAATGTGAGAAAGTTATAAAATTATAGAGAAGTTCTGAAAAATTATATGAAAAATTCTGAGAAAAATAATTTTACCAGGATATACATTTAAATATATATAAAATTTCTTTTATATATATTAAATATAATCATATTAAATTTATATTCCATTTATCATTGTTATTATATTTACATCTACACTTCATTGTTATTGTACAGCCCCTCTCTAGTTGGTATGCCATTTCTACTCACGCTCCAAATTTATATCGGCGTAAGGATCATGAACTTTCTCCTCTTGCTTGTTCAGGTCCTCGAGGAGAATCTTTTGCTGCTCCTCGCTCACGTCAAAAATAATGTCAGCGTCTTCATCGTGAAATACTTTGTATTTTACATTCATAGCACCGGCAAGGTTATAAGGACTGGTGTTCTTGCTCGTGTCATCTTTTTTGTCCTTGTGGTCGTTTTCCACGTCGCTCGAGAATCTCCTCGTCAGTTTTAGCCATGAGTACGTTAACGATCGTGATGTATAACTTCCAGGAACTTCACGGGACAATCGTCGTATGCTTAACAGGTTCCTCAGGATGCACGAACGCATATCGGTTTCGAAAACTTAGGTTAGGGTTAAGTCGTGACATTGCCAACGGCCGAGATAGTTATGCTGAGGATATTAGATGATTTCATAATTTATGATTATCATCTTAAAATTACATTTATATTTAATGTAATAATTAATTAAGATCCAGCTTGATCATTAAAGGCCTTTATTCCTTATTGTGTAATAATTACAAATAATTACAAATAGATAACATATCCATTAAGTTTTTGAAAATGTTTTTAGCATATATATATATATAAAATGTATAATCTTAATGAGTTCATATTTTATGAAGATTAATATTTTTGTATTGTACATATATATTTGTAGGCAATTTTTTCAACATTTTTTAGCAATTTATGTCAACAAAAGTAGAATCTGCAGACAGATGAAACATAAGTACAAAATAATTTTGTATCAAGAATTTTATAAACTCGCATCGGCAAGCCATTTGTTCCTCAAGAAGTTTGACTCTTCTGCTGAACTTTTTGCATAGTCTATTTTTTTTCCTCTTAAATATAAAAAGAACAAGAACAAAGTTAAGATTATCATAAAGAAACGGAAATTTATTGGAATGAAACAGAAGCCTTCAACTAAATTCTGTCTTGAGTAGTTGATATATTTAACCAGACAAGATTTACAAATACAAAATTCTCTCAATGCGAAAAACGTGTCCATTGAAGATTCGTCTCCCAGGGATTTTCAATCAATTAGGAGCGTTCGTCGAATGGTGAAACGTCGCAGGTCTTCTCCCCTTTCACAGCTGAAATATTACGTAGCAAATAAGAATGGTAGAAAAATGTTAAAATAGCACGACTACAATTCATCAAATATGTAAAATGTATACCTACAGAGACTGTGAAAAGGAACTGTTTATTTAGACCTCGCACGCATCTTCCTCCTCTTACGCTTTAGCCTCCGCATCCTTTTCTTACGCCACTGTAAAATAAATACATTAGCACATCGTTATCTTTTTCTAAAGTTTACAGCGTCTGCAATTCAAACATACAGTACATATTTCAACAATATTGCAGTAACGTAGCAAATGTTGCTAGAAATTCTGAGATATTTGATTTTTTCTTTCCTGCCAATTGTTAATTTTTTTCTTCTTTTTTTCCAATGAGAACAGAAGAATGATGAACAATGTAAGAATTTTAGGTGAAAAAACTGATTTATGAATCGATAATGCACCGCGTCGATTTTCTAGGAAATGGAAGTTGAGGTTATGTAATAAAACAAAGCAAAGGACGTAAAAAACCGCATAAATGCTGCTAAAAAGATAATTACGAGCTCGAGTTAATTATCAAGGTTGTCATTATGACACAAAAACTTTCGCAACGTTGGCGTCATATCAACAAAAGTAATCGACATGCTCAAGGGAAGAAGGCGGTGTCTCGTGAATTTTGCGCGATGAAATAATTGCATATGCTCGAAGAATGCAATAATTATCAACGAGAGTCGATAACGGCTTACCTTAGCTCTCATCTCCTCCTTTAAATTACTCTAGATAAGTTTGGAATAGCTGGATTACTTCGGATTTCGAGTCAACTGGATTCGAAAGTTTCTCGAGGTAAAATGAACGACGCAGAATGAAGCAGGGACGAAGAGACGAGGAACGAGACGGAGGATGAGAAGCAAATGCGCATGCGCATGCACGGCGATGCGTCATTTGACGCGCGCTCGTGTCCGGAAGCCAATAAGGACAACGCGCTTTATAAAGACTTCCCTCAGTGGCGCTCAAGTCTCTAGGAAAAGAGACTCTCTCATTGGTCGTGTCAAATATTCGCGAACGTAACGAACTATAGCATTTTAATAATTCAAAATAATATAATATTTAAATTATTTAAATTATTCTAAAACATTTGAATCACTTGGTGTTTTCATCGAGGAACTACACAATGTAGCGAATAATTTTTTATTATTTGCATTTTCGTGTATTTTGACTGTTAATAATTTGTTTACACTTCTTCAGAGGATGTCACTTCAAATTATATTCGTCAAATTCTAGAATGTATTTTATATGTATGTGGTGTAAAATATGGAGTAGAAAAATGTCAAAAAACATGATTGGTTCTATGAACAGGAACAAGAAAAGAGTTTGATAAAAATCGGTAAGTTAGAAAATGATATTTAATGATAATTTGTGATTGTTATTCACATATCCTTTGCTTTAATTAATTAGACACAAATTATTTTCCCATATAATTTAAATTATAGCAAAAAATGTTTTGTGATTCAAAATTCATACTTTTTAAATTTTATTTATGTGAATTATAATTAATTACCGACATCAAGAAACTTTAAAATTAAAAAGAACGGAACTTGAACGACTATTTTCCTTCTTAGAATAAATTTTGCGCATAAAAATACACAAATTTACAAAAGTACAGGAAAATCGAAGGAGAGAGTGTCGTAATGAAAATTGTCATTTTATTTTATTTTCTCTTGTGCTTCCCACTTTCACGTTCCGTTCGGAACGCTCTTTCCGAGTGGTTCCAGGCCGACAGGCGGCGTGTTCCGTGTTCCACGTTCCGTACTTGTTTTCCCGCCCGTTTAAAGCCCATCCCGCCAAAACTGCAATCACAGCTGAGGTGCGCGGGATGTGTTCGTCCCTCGGTAAATGACGTGTTTCATCGTGAATTCGGCGGACAATCGCTCGTTAACGTGTTAATCGCTGACGTCGGCAAATCTTCCAATGATTCGCTAACGAATATTTCAGAAACTTTCGATAACTTCAACGTAGCAGTGACTCACGCGACCAAGTCGAAATCATTGTTCACGAGGACGTCGTCACGAAGGGCAGAAAATCCCAAGAGGGTGTGTATAAATTGTATTAAATCTCATTGAATCTCCACCATCCCGTTTGCAGACTGTCTGGGGAGTTGACTAAAAATTCAATTCAAAATAATGAGAACAATATTTGATTTTATTACAAAAATTATATATCTACAACAAAGTCCACATGTAATTGTACTGTGTACCTTTTTAGAATCAGAAGTATTCATCGAAAAAAAAGAAGGATTTGTCGACCTTGCATTGCATCCCTTTTTGTGCTTGGTGACAGTTTTCATTAAAGAATTACGAAAACGATGTCGGGCAAACAGACTACCATTTCTTTTCCCATACGGAAGAAATCTAATTTTTATGGTCGCAAGGAGGAAGTTAAAGAGGATTTTACAAACGCGACGGCAAAGGATACGCCGTCAAGGTATGTCCCAACCGTTAAGAAGATTGTCACTTTGACCAGCAGCGAGTCTGAGTCTGATTCTGATATTGAGAATACAAAGGAGAGGCACAAGGTAACGAGGGAAAGAAGGATCGAGAATGCAGGCCATACGCCAAGGCGACGAAAGTGTGATGACTTGAATGGTAAATTTATTTACAGGAGACATTATTTCTTATTTTATTTAATTCTCTAAAGCTGATGCCAAAGACTGTTTTCCTTTTAGGAGACACAAACATTCTCTCTTCTTGGCATTTAAAGAATAATAAAGAAAGAATGATACTTGTGTTGGCTGTATCTGTCTTCTAAAAGGAAAGTTAAAGTCTGAAAGTTAAATATAGTTACTAAGGTTGTTCTATTTAACTTTTTGACTTATTTAACTTTCATCTTTCCTCTTTTTTTCCATATTGCAAACAGAAAAAAAACATTGGGTTTGTGAGATCCATTTAATATATGTTGATTAATAATAATTTTGATTACAGAATTGTTGGTAAAAATGACATTTGACTTGTTTTCACTCATAAGAATCTTTGTTATCGAAATAATCATTGCATAGTAGGTTTAATAGACTCATATCAGTTCTAGATTAAAAGTAATAATAATAATAAAATTATTTTGTAGGCAGACTGTTTCACAGTTTCACTGTTTCACCTTTTTCGCGACTTGCGATAATTATGCAATATAATTTCACTTTATACACAGTAATTATATTGTAGATATTTGTATTTTGCATAAGTTTGTTGTTAAATTATGAATTATGTTTTATTTCAGAACAACACACTCCTAGCCCACCAAAGCAGAGAAGGGATAAGCTGGAGTCTTCCTTGACGCCGTCCACTCTTCTCAATAGATTAATTCTGTCCCCTAAGAAAGAAGGCAGATTAGCTCCCAAGCAATTATTTGACTCTTGTCTCTCCGAAGAAGAGGACGAGATAATTTCTAAGCCAATAGGATCCAACAAATATCAGAATGCGCGTAAATCATTGCATGGTTCTATAACGGACAACTTACCCGGTAGAGAAGAGGAATTAACTAAGTTGCAGAAATATCTTCTTGAACATCTGGATCAAGAAACGTCGGGTTCTCTGTATATTTCTGGTCCTCCGGGCACTGGTAAAACTGCGTGTCTGTTCAAGATCATGCAACAATCAGATGTAAGATCGAAATTCAAGATGGTCTATATCAATTGTACCAGCATGAAGTCCGCGACTGCCATTTATGCTAAGATAATTCAGGAACTGTCCATACCTGGCATGACTAAGTCGGGAAAGAACAGCAAAGCTATTATAGAAAAATATTTAGTATCTAAACACAAGACGCTGCTCCTGGTGCTGGACGAGATAGATCAGTTGGAGAGCAAAAAGCAGTCTGTGCTGTATTCTATATTCGAGTGGCCTTCCAAACCGAATTCCAAGCTGATCCTCATCGGGATCGCCAACTCCCTAGACCTGACTGACAGAATATTACCCAGACTGCAGGCTAGATGCGAATTGAAGCCAGCGTTGATGCACTTTGCCCCATACTCCAAGCAACAGATATTTAACATAATATCCACGAGACTGAATGAGGCGAACGCGACCAACGTTTTTACTCCGCCTGCGATACAATTCCTCGCGAGCAAGGTAGCTGCGATTTCTGGGGATATCAGGAAAGCCTTGGATATTAGCAGGAGAGTGATTGAACTGGCTTCATCGCATCAAGTGGCGCAGGTGCTGCGTCCGACGATTGATAATGGTAATCAATTTAAGCGACACGTTATTAGGTCAATGTAATATCAAAATGATATGAAAAATGATATTAATGAAAATTATATGAATGAAAATGGATAATATTGATAATTAATATAAAGAATAATGGACAATGTAGAAAATTTAATTTTCTATTTTTAATCTAGATACAAATATAGAGCCCTCGAAGAAGGAAACTGAAGCAGTAGAAAAGCCTGTTGACTTGAAGGAAGTGATAACAGTTCTGAATGGAGTCTATGGAGGCATACAGAATCTCAGTAACGAACAGGATACATTTCCTCTTCAACAAAAGTTGTTAATTTGCTCTCTATTACTTATCCTTAATAAAGGGAAGAATAAAGACATCACTGTCGGAAGAGTAAGCTCATTAAAGTCACACATTATATATCATCATAATCAAATATTTAAATATAAAATCATAATAATTATATTCAAATGTAAAATTAATAATTTAATTTGGTTCATTAAATTTCAGTTAAATTTATAGTGGTATAAACAAATTATACTGTATTATTTTTTCAAACGATGTTTTATTCCTTACAGTTGTATGAGGTGTACAGAAATGTTTGCAAGAAGCGTAACATATCCGCTGTCGACACTTCCGACTTTGTAAACATGTGTTCACTGATAGAGACTAGAGGTATTTTGCGAGTTGTCGGCAAGAAGGAAGCACGTTTGTGCAAAGTGAACCTGCAGTGGGATCAAGAGGAGTTGGATGCAGCCTTACAGGACAAGCAGATGATGGCTGATATAATTAATGACGCAAATTGTTTGTAGAATAATTAGGGAAATTTAATGTTATATCGTTTTGTTGCACCTAATTTATTTTATAGATCCTTTTATATTTTATATGTGTATATACTTTAACGTATTTTGAGGTTGTTACCAATTGGCTTTTACATTGTCATCAAAGCATCATTTTTCTATACACCACTCTTTTAAGAGACAAATTTTAACGTTAGCATTAATGTTAATTTGGACATTGTTATTATATCGCATGAGACTGATTGTATTTTACATACTGTGCATTTTATACAGTGTTGAATCTTAAAATTTATACAGAATGTACATGAGGCGTTTGGTAAAGTAAAATGAAAGATATATTTTTGATAATTGCAAATATAACGTTTAAGTATAAGCATATTTATGTGTATATTAAATAAATCGAAGTCTAGTTCTTTCGCCAGTGTTTTTCCTTTATTTTTATATTTGACACAACGTATATGAATAATAAAAAGATAAGAAAAAGATATTATATTGATGATTAATTCTATGTTTTAGATTTTAGATGCATTTCTAAAGTAAGATAACCAATTTTTTAATAAGGAAAAGAGGAACAATAAAAAAATCAGTATTTAATTAAATTTTAGTAGATAAACATTTTTTAATAATTAATGAAACATATGAACAATTATATTATTATATTTGTAAATAACTCTTAATGTATAACATTGCATGAGATACAATAAAAATTATATCAAGTTATAAGATATTTTTTTAATTTGTACTTTTTTACTGATGAATGTATGTATCTTATGAGTAATGTTGTTCAAAACTTTCACTCCGCATCACATCCGTCATGTTTTTTAAATAGAACTTGAAGCAATATACCTTCAATTTCTAAAG